ACAGACTTTGTTGTAAGCTCTTATGTTTAGTTTGCCTTTCTTCAATCAAATCAGTGGTAATCACACTGTATCACTATCTGCAACATCTTTTTTTGGTAAGGTGTTTTCTTAATAAATAGCAAAAATTATCAATATTTCTTTAAATAACGCAAATGACATCAGATTTCAAGGGCAAGCAAGGCAAAGTGAAAGTAATCCATAGAAAGCTCTAAGCGCAATTTGGGTGCAATGCTTTCTGTGGTTGAAGGATTTACGCACCAGTGGACATCAAAAGCAGTCAAACAAGTATGAGGGGGGTGAGAAAAGAGCTAAATGTCCAACTATCCACTGCTGTCCAATATTGCGCAAGTCATGCCTGATTTTGAATTACGATGAGAGACTATTGATAAAGTAGCAATTTTATGCACTTTAGTCAGGTTCTACAAATGAGAGCATTAAGATGGAGTGTTGAAAGTCATTCCTTTCTCTGCAAGACAAGACACATCCACGTACATATACCCCCCCACCCCCCCCTCGGCTCTTCAAAATCTGTAATTTTGAAGATGCGAGAGCATCCGAAGATGTTCCAGTCGTGTCAGGACTAATTTCCATCTGTTTGGCCATTAGTCCTTTAGAGACTCGAATATTGGTTCCAATGGCTGAAGGTGCGGAAGCAGTTTGTTGGTACACAGCTTTGCTACTCATCAAGAATCTTTGTTTGTTTTTTTTTATGGATCAGAAAAGCTAGGCTATGATCTCAAGGCAAGTACTTAAAATTGCAGGGGGAGGTCTGGTTGCTTTAAAAATTGTTGTACTATGTCACCGCATTATTGCATTGTATTCACAAAGAGCTTCTCTCTCAATAAGGCTTCTTCGAAGGCAAAACTTTTTAGGCAAACAATCGCAAAGTGACTTGTCGATCCAGGAAATATTAAATTAATATTTGTTAATGACCTAATTGCAATCTCATAAAGTTTTGGGTCTTTGCTATTTATCAATTTTTAATGTTTTAATGGAATTAGTCATGTGAAAACACTAGCTAATTGGTGATATAATTTAGATTTCCTAATGAGTGAAAACACTTGTGTTGACATCTGCATGTCCTTTTGGTTCTCTCTGGAATTTACTAGAAACAAGTCAACTCACATAATGTTGCCACTATCCGTTGACAAATATGCGGACATGTCCGCAATCCACTGGCATGGTATGATCTAATTGATTGGTCTGTCGCTTTAAATTCGCAGAGTATTTTTTCGTATTGATGGTTTTCATGTATTGTTCAGAGTGTATTTTCCACCATTGTTCATTTAACCTGCTAGCTATACTTCTGCACAGAATTCAGGTGTTGCAAAAATGGTCACTCTGGGGTCTGGGCTTTGGGCTGTGGGCAGCGGTTAGGGGATGGATTATCTTGTTGTTCAAGCATTAGTGATATTATTATTATTATTATTATTAATTATTATTATTATTATTAATTATTATTATATATTATTATTATTATTATTATTATTAATAGTGTTTTTTTTCTTCTTCCTTCCTTCCTTCTTCCTTCTTCCTTCCTTCCTTCTTCCTTCATTCTTCCCTTCTTCCTTCCTCTTCATTTCCTTCTTCCCTTCCTTCTTCCTCCTTCCTTCTTCCTTCTTCTTTCCTTCCTTCCTTTTCTTCTTCCTTCTTCCTTCCTTACCTTCCTTCCTTCCTTCCTTCCTTCCTTCCTTCCTTCTCCTTCCTTCTTCTTCCTTCTTCCTTCCTTGCGGTTCTTCTGTCTTCCTTCCTTCTTCTTCCTTCCTTCTTCCTCCTTCTTCCTTCTTCTTCGTGTGCTTCCTTCTTCCTTCCTTCCTTCTTCTCCTTTCTTCTCTTCCTTCTTCTTCCTGCCTTCCTGTCCTTCCTTCTTCCTTCTTCTTCTTCCTTCTTTCTTCTTCCTTCCTTCTTCTTCCTTCTTCTTCTTCTTTCCTTCCTTCCTTCATTTCTTCCTTTCCTTCCTTCCTTCTTTCCTTCCTTCTTCTTCCTCCTTCCTTCCTTCTTCTTCCTTCCCTTCCTTCCTTCCTTCCTTCCTTCCTTCTTCTTCTTTTCCTTCCTTCTTCTTTCCTTCCTTCCTTTTCCCCTTCTTCCTTCCTTCCTTCTTCCTTCCTTCCTTCTTCCTTCTTTTCCTCTTCCTTCTTCTTCCTTCCTTTCCTTCCTTCTTCTTTCTTCCTTCTTCCTTCCTTCCTCTTCTTCCTTCCTTCCTTCTTTCCTTCTTACCTTACTTACTTATCTCTTCTTCTTACTTAATTACATTACTTACTTACTTAGCTTACTTACCTTAACTTTACTTACTTACTTATATTACTTACTTACTTACTTACTTACTTACTTACTTACTTACTTACTTACTTACTTACTTACTTACTTCCTTTCTTTCTTTCTTTCTTTCTAATGAGCCTTATTCAACTTTCTGCTTTTTTCTTCTTTTCCTTGCTTCCATATCTTTCATTTCGGCTCAATGTTTTTCTTTCCTCTCCTCAGTCCAAATGGCCCCTTTCTTCTTTTTTGGCTAGTTCTCAAATCCTGTCAAATTTATTAAGTTTGGTCTTTGTTGAAGACCGCTTAATAATATCTGCTGGTGTCATTTTTGAGCTCCTCCAAGTCTTTTTCAACTTCTTTAAACAACGTATTGATTTTGTGAAATAATTAAAGTCTCCCAGTTAATTTTTGTGAATGTAATCTTTAAAGATGTCCATAGAGTGTTATTCCTCTTTTTCTCATTGTGCCAGTCATTTTCTCAAAATTTTATATAGTTCCTTGTTATGACATCGCTGCTTCTGATTTCCAATTTTAATTGGACCCAAATTCTTCTGAGAATTTTGCGTTAGATAGTTTGCGGTTCCACTTACAATATTTTCCTATTAAGGGTTAGACATTCTGCTGCATACAATTCCTCTGGTCTAACTACTGTTGAATAATGCCAAAGTGAAATTGATTTCTTCTTATAAACATCTTTAGTTAAATTTGCAGCTAACTTCAGTTTGTTAATTCTTGATTTATTGGCTTCTTTCTCGGATATTTTCCTCAATAATTTCTCCAAGATATTTGAATTTTTTAGTTCTGGATATTATTCCATATTTTCTCTTCATTGGTGCAGGGGATTTCTTAATATTTGTCAAAAATTTCGTTTTGTCAAAGGAAATTTGTAGTCTTGACTTTCATGGCATATGTACTCAAAAATTGAACTTGCTGATTAGCTGTTTCTATCGAGTCTGACAATACTGCTAAATCATCTGTGAAAGCCAGGCAGTCCACTGTTAAAATTTAAAATGTTTTTAAAATTTATTTGTACTTAGGAACAACAATAGGAAAACAGGGTTTTTATGGAAAGGAATGTGAAACCCGACTCTTTCAAGGAAGAAAAAATTTAGGAGCCCTGATTGCAGTTATCTGGGATCGAAATTTAAGCAAGAAATCGAAAATTAAAATATATAAATGTATGATTGAAAGTGTCACATTGTATGGAGCAGAAATATGGCAGCTTCCAGAACAACAGGAAAAAAAAATTGAGAGCTTTGGAAATGGATTTCCTCTGGAGAGCTGCAGCAATATCTAGAAGAGAAAGAATTAGGAATGAACAGGTTAAGGAAATAATGAATCTGCAAGTGATATTGTAGAGGAAATTGAAAAGAAACAACTCACTTGGCTTGGACATGTACAGCGAATGGACAACAGAAGACTTTCCTGTAAATCCTTGGAATAGCAACCAAGTGAAGGGCGAAAACAACTTAGACCAAGGCCAGGATGGAACAACCACATCAGAAAGGTAATCAAAAACAGGAAATTATCGCCTGATTCCTGGAAGAACAGGGAAGATAGGAGAAGAAGATTAGGCGCTGGAATACTGAAGTACGGTTAAGAAAACGGCAAGAAGAAGAAGAAAATTTAGTTGTTATAGGAAGCCAACAGGCTGTACCCAATGATAGGCTTGTATTGAATAAAGTAAAATCAACAAAAAATAATGGCAACTGGTTACAATAATAAAATTGATTAAAACTGAGCTTAACTCAACTAAAATTAATGACGACATTTTACAAGAATAAAAATGGAGAGCTAAACTATGAATTGTTGTATGTGAAGTTCATTGCTGCATTCCATAATGTCACTATGAGTCAGCAAAGATTTCAATACCACTTTCAGTACTGGTTATAACTTTGTTGACATTTGAGACCGTTCTATAAAAAACACTTTTACTTCAATACCTACCATTTGAGACAATATTATTAAATGGTTTCACAGAACAATGTGTATATTGTAGAACCAATAGTGAAATTATTCCAGTGTCAGTGGACAAAAGGTAATATTTCTCGATACTTTAATGAACTTTTTGAATCTCACCTTATCAATAATTTCTCTAGTAAGCCAAGTGGAATATTTGCTAAATTTTATTTGCTATTATTATTATTATTATTATTATTATTATTATGTACAGAAGTTCACATTTCAACCATTTCTTTTTTCCAAGTAATTATTTATTTTTAATCACTTCCTGCACTTCACTTCCATCTTGCGGGACAAAATTGGCAAGAAATATTCAAAAGAGATTAAAAAATATGGCATAGCAATTGTGTGATTCTTCTTCAGAAATATTCTATCAGATAAACATTTTGCAACTTTTACTCTCATAAATAAAACCATTGAAAGGTTGGATTCCACCATATTGGTCATTCTTGGGAGCATGAATAAGGTTTTGGATGTTTAAAAAACGATAAATCTCTTGCCGTAGCGTATAAGAGGTAATGTAAAAAAAGACCTTTCTTGAAGAGAATTGAAGATTTGTTAATTGACAATTTATCTAGTGATCCATATTCATTTATAATGACCTTCTGGAAAATGTTTTTATCCTCACTAATGTAGAATTATTGTTTGTGCTCTTTTTATTTTGAGTGTTGCTAATTTTGATTGGCTGACATTTTAAACTTTGGTTTGACTGTTCCTAGAAGTTAAATTATTGTGTGCACTATTTTTTAGAGGATATACTATTTGTTTTGTATTATTAGTTTAGAATTGGAGCACCTAGAACGAGAGAAGAGAGAGCGTGAGATTCGAGAATTGCGTGAGCGTGAACTAAATGATAGATTGAAGGATGAATTAATGAAGAATGCTGGAGCAGGCCCAAGAATGGCAAATCCTCTTGACCCTCATTGGCTGGATCTTCACCGCAGGTTAAACATTATTTTTAAGTAATTATTTCCCTTTTGGGAGTGTACACAAGGTTAACAAAACAAGTTAACCAAAATCGACTAATTTGTTTTTTCATTCTTGTGCGTTGGCAGTTCTAGTTAACTTATTTTTCTTTAAAATATTTTTGGTTAGATTATTAAAATAAATGGCTTAATAACTTGTATGAGTGTTGAATGAAATTGTTCACTTCAGAGTGCACTTGTATACATTAATGAATGTATGTTGTTGATTTAGATATGCTGGATTAGGTCCTGGTGGACCTCCACATCAGTTTGGTCTTTACTCATCTCCAGCTGCTCCCGGACAAACAGCTCTTAGTCAATTGGAACGAGAACGGTTGGAGAGATTGGGTGAGTGTTACTTACATACAGCAGTAGATAACAAATTGGATGAAAAGGGAACCTTCAGTTAAAGTAAATAAAGGAACTGAGTGGCACAGAAGGGAGAGACAATCCTGAAAAATGAATATCTTTCGCTCACTCAATTTCTGATGAGCGTGCGTCCGTTGGCACAGGTATCCCCACCGGTCCCGCAGGGCCGCACGGGCCGGCAGCAGTGGGGCCATCAGGTCCCCATTCTGCACATGCCCATCCACATGCAGCTCATGCCAGCTCATTGGCTGCAGCCCAAGCAGCGCAAGCTCAGCTGGAGGCCGCCGAGAGACTTGCTCTGGCCACGGATCCAATGGTGCGACTGCAGATGGCTGGCATTTCACCCGAATATCATGCCCATACGCATGCCCATACGCACGCCCATTCACACACACACCTGCACCTGCACCCTGGGCAGCAGGCAGCACAAGCCCAGCAGGCACAGCAGGAAGCAGCGGCAGTGGCAGCCGGCTCGGCGGCCTTCCCTCTGCCAGGTGCGTTGAACGGTGGGGAACAGCCTCGGCGCAAATCTACTTTGGTTGTAGTATAAATATCAATTATTTTTTCTCACATAATGAAACCTAATTTTTTGTCAAAGTAATTGAGAATGATCACTGGTATTATCTAATTTTGTTCAAAGAAAGTGCAATTCATGCAGATGAAACTGATATACTCTTTCTCAGAATCGTTCATAAATTTTTCTCCAGTTATGAGTTCAATAACTGTAAGAAACTGCAGGGGGACTTATAATATTTGCAAGTTTCAGAAAGTAAAGTTAAACTAAATTTTGTATGAACAAGAATATTAGCAGTATATTTAACAAATGATTACCCTCGGGTAAAGGAGGACCCATATCATTATCAAATTATATTGAATGAAATTTGAATTCACAGAAAAACACACTTAACATCCTATACAGACTGCGTAGGTTGTAGCTTAGGTACCCAAAACTTTATTTTTCATTTCATTATCAAGTTAATTTTTTAAAATTGAAAAACTCCTATAAATATACTTTCATTAAGCAAGCAACAACAAACTAGAAATTTCTTTTGATAATTGTTTCAAAAAGCAGTCATTTAAAAATATCACAAAAATTACTAAATCAGTTTTCTTGCATTGTGCAATACATGCACACGCTGCATTTACAATGGAGATACCCATTGAAAATAAAAATAAAATACCATATTGATAAATTCACATTTTGCTGCAATTGTGAAATATAATTATCAATTCAATTCATTCTTGTCATATGAGTTACAAAATGGTATAATGATTTTCATATTTTTTTTTTATTTAACAATTTGCATTATCTTCCAAGAGTACCTTGTCTTCCTAATTTTTAGTTTTCCAATTTATTTGATGTTTTTTGGATATAATATATTTAGACAAATTAATTTTCAGTTTATTTTGGCAATTGGTTATCTAATGTTACATTTAACATTGTGCAATCAACCATTTTAATTTTTATATTCTATCGAATGCAGATATTCTAAATATGAAAATAATATACTATTTTTTGTAAAAATGATTTGTAACTACTTAAATAGAATTTTATGGCAATTGAAAAGTTTTACTTCTCTTGGAGGAAAACAATGTAATGTTTGTCAACTTGTGTTTGTAATCTTAAAAATCTGCTATGTAACTTTGGGAGACAAGAGAAAATATTAGAAGTTAAAATAAGTGTCGCTTACCCCCCTTCAATTTTTTGTTATTACTATATATTTACAAATTTGTGACAAGTGAGAAAAATTTGTTTTACTTATCAGTAAAAGGTATCTGTTTTTTTTAAAATTTGATACTAGAGTATAATTTATTTCTTTGCAACTACATCATAATACATATGTACCACCTGAGAAGGGCATTCACAGCTCACTTTTAAGCTGAAGGTATCCTTTTTAGCCTATTACAATTCAGTCATTGTGTGAATGTTAATGTTTGATTAAACATAGTATTTGAACTGGTGTGCATGCTTGTAATTACATTGGAATCAGTACATGTTGATTAGGTGTGTCACAGACTTCACTCCCTTGGACATCCAAGTGGTCATCTTTTAAGTCCTAGTGAATTACAAGTGTTTTAGAATATAAAGGTATTCTATTTGTTCCTTTCAAAAGTGTGGTTATATATGCCCAAGTAAATAACTGCTGAAGACCCGGACAATCAATGTTAACCTTTCACTCTAATAATAATAATTATAATTATTATTATTATTATTATTATTATTATTATTATTATTATTATTATTATTATACTATGGCAATACATTATTTCAACTTAACACATCATTGGCCATTTCTTTATTAAATTAGAAAATTTCTAATGTACATTTAATTTATTTTAACACTAAAAAAGCATGTTTAATGCTACTTTTTCCTTTAAATTTTGGTTACCGTATGTCATATTTTTTTAGAGAAGGAATTTAGAGTATAATTGGCTCTATATTCAAAAATTTTACTAAGAAATATCCCCTTTAGAATCTTCCAAAATCAATCATCCTTGTGATATTCCAGAAATAGCGTACCCTTTTTTGTCACATTGCATTTGCTTGTTACCTTTAAAGTACAGATCTGTTCAAATTATTAGACTCGCAACAAAATATTTAGAAGTTTTTATTTTATCATATAATGGCAGACTCCTAGGGCTCTGAAAATCATTTTTAAGAATTAACCTGCCATCTTCCTTCTAATAACATAACTTTCATCAAGCAGAAATGTTGCTAATGGCTTCTGCATGCAATAGTACAAGTATTGTTTTGTGTATGTCTGCACTCAATATTGTAAAGTTGTGGCATTTCTTTTAAAAAGAGATATTCATCAACTTTGCATGCTGTGGTAGATTAATTTACTGGTTTGTTAACGCAAATACGTGATTTTAATTTATTATACATCAATCACGCAAAATGGGAAGGAGGAAGGATGTTCCCCTCGTAAAGTTGCAGTTATTAAAACTTTCTTAGAAGACGATATTTATACACAGAAGCATATTTCTAAGATACGCACAATACGTCAAAAATCCTTTAGTAGAGTCAGTATTGCAATGAGAGAAAACAAAACAAACAAAACATACCCACTTCCACTACCTATTTCATTGAAATAGGTGTTTTATTTATTGAATTTGAAAAATGTTTGTTTTAATCATTGCCAGTGAAAAAGGCAGCTTATTATAATTAATTTGATGTTGGCACATACATGATTCATAGTGGATTGTTGTTAGATTAAAATAAAAAAAATCTTTGAAAATTTAATACTGAGGTTAATAATTTGGTTAGATCTGTATATGATTCTTTAGTCAAATTGCTTTTTTTCACTCTAAGTTTCATTCAACACTTCATTGTATGTTTTTCCATTACACAAAGTGATTAATATGACGAAAAGCCAACATAGGAAATATCCTTTCTGAAGAAGTACTAATTACCATCTCTTGAACTTAATTTTTATATAAAACCATTAATCTTCCATTATCTTATGTGCTCTTCCTCACCATAATCCAATACTGTACTGTAGGTGAACATGGATTATGCCATAATAAACCAATAAGAAATTTAGAATTTAAAAATTTACTTTGAAAATTTAAATTAACGTATAAATAAACTGGAAATCATAAAATAAACTAGAATTACGAATCATCTTACCTTAACCTAGCAAAGATATTCCAGGGGATTGAAGATTTTGTATAAAATATATTTTTAATCTTCAAAATATATAAAATGTGTTATTAATTGGAATAAAAGTTTCTTACTCGTAATCCAGCTGGAACAGCAAATTGTCTCCTTACTGGATAATTGCCAGAATTGCTTGTACATAAACTAGTGAAAAGACATGATCATTAATAATTGTATTTGACCATTTTTGTTTTTCTTTATATAATTCTTATTTTGCATTTGAAAGAAACTAAAAAGTTTGGGGGGGTAGTTGAAATAAGGATGTTTTTTTATAGTGAAACTGATTTCAAATTTAAATTGTTTCTTCATTTTAGTAACCAGTACTGATAACTGCGTATCTGAGCACTCTTGTATAATTCCAAATTGCTAGTCTTTTTCTTTCTCCAGCTATTATTCTAGTAACTAATTTGCCTCTCACCAAATACAGTTTCATCCTACTTTCACTTTCCCAGAATATATCATCCCCATCGTATACACTGATATTTCCCAATTCCTTCAATTTCAGTATGTTTGCAATGTAAAATTACTCTTATTTACGCTTCCAATATTAAAATTTCTCACCATATATGCATTTTAATAAATCAAAAAAATGGTGAGCCCCATTATTTTCCTTCCTATTAAAATCATATTAACTTCATCAGTGTTTTGTTGGATAATACTTTGCGATGTTCATGTGCGGTGTGCATTTGTAGATCACAATGATGTCTGCCTACATAATGTTTTTTGAGAGTGGGTTGGTAGGGATAGGCAAAATACTTGAAATTTAGTATTTAAATACTTTGCTAAAATATTTTATAAATAAGTATTTAAAATCATACACAAAATACATTAGAACTTGATGTGCTAAATACATATGTATTTAAAATACTGAAAATACTGTAAATATATAATAATTTTGTATTATATATTTTTATTGCAACAATATATTGTAATAGTCTATTACAGTAAATTAGTAATTGACAGACATACAAATTTCTGAACAATAATTATTTTAATGTATTGTAACCATATGTATAAACATTTTCAAATATTAAATATCAAAAATATGTCTAACGCAGAGAAATGGAATTTCCATTTAAAATGGTTATTTTTTTAAACAAATCAGACAATAAACTCCTAATTAGCGAACGTATAAAACCTGAAAAGGAAAATAGTTGTTCAACTTGCGTGAATGAACATCCACTAGTGTTATAATGAATAAACACTTTTTTTATTGCCGATAATTGTCCAGCGTTTTTAATGATTTAGATTTATTATTTAAAAATAAAGAGAATCCAACAGCTGAAAGGAGCTTTTATTTTTGTTTCAAAGAAGTGTATTCACTAACTGAATCAAACAAAAAGAAACTATCAATGTTTTAAACTATTTTCTTCTTTGTCTGTATTTAAAGTAATTCCTTTTTTAAATACACCTTCTTTATGTATTTAAATACATCTGCAATACATGCCCCCACCCCCCAATACAATTTTTCAAATATGTATTTCAAATACAAGTATTTAAATACTGCCTAACCCTGTGGGTAGGATTGTCATCTGTCCCAATTTTGTAGGTATTATCTTACTGTATTATTAGTTACTCAAGCCATGCCTCTACACAACTATAGCAGGACACTCGATTAGCTCTACTTTTGTTTGTTTCACGAGTATCAGGTGTATATTCAGGGAATATTCTGTGTACATATTTTAGGGAATCACAGATTTGATTTATTTCCATAAAAACAATTAAAGGGTCCTGGTAATGAAATATTGGAAAAATCCAGTTGCCAAATTTAGGGAGGGGAAACTCTAACACATGGTGTAGCCAGAATCCATGTTTTCGAGTCCTTGATAGCGA